CGGCACGGAGAAGCCCCGGGACACCGAGGCGCTCCTCCTCCGTGGGAGGAAACGGCCTTCCCGGCGGGGAGCACCGGGAGGGAGGTCCAGGCCGTGGGGCTTAACGTGCGGAGTGCAGGGAAGCCCAGTCCCACTGCTAGCAGCAAGGGAAGCAGCAAGGAGCAATAAACTGCCCAGTGCTGCCCCAGGCCGTGCCACAGTGCTCCCAAGTAACCTGGAGGCTGCAGGGCAGCAGCAGTGATCCAGAGGTGCCATATCCTCCACATGGGCACTTGGAGCTGCCTGGAGTACTGAGACTGGGGGTTTAAAGGAGCCTCAGAAAAGCCCCAGTGTGAGTGGCCAGTGGTGCCTGGGAAGCCTCTCCGGTCCCCCCTGGGTACCCATGTGCTGGCACCTTCCCTGAAGCGGGCAGCAGGCAGCCCTTGGGGAGGCAGTGTGGGGCTAAGTCCCACGGGGTGTGCGGTGCTGCAGCACTGAGTTCAGGCAAGGGGGGCAGCGGAACCTGCCCTGGGCAGGGCAGCTCGGGGATCCCTCACTCCTTGTGAGCCGTGGGAGGCTTTTCCCCGGCAGAGCCGCACAGAGCCCTGTGGAGGGAGCAGTGAGTGGGAGCAGAGCAGCTCCCAGGACGTGCCAGGAACAAACTGTCTCAGATGCAACAGGACACTTCTGTGTGACAGAAGCCAGCCTGCCATTTTTCCATGGCTCTTCCGCAAGACAGAAAAATAATAAGTTTAGTCCAACTGTTCCTCGTTGATAAACAGCTTTAAGTCCACCTCTCACCAGAGCTCCTGGTACCACCACACCAAATCTACCCCTTGTGCTCTCCACACATCGGACAAGAGCCATCATGTCCTGCTGGGCTGACTTTTTGATCAGTTAAGGTGACTTTTATATGAAAGATGGAGGTGTAGCTTTGAAGAGGAAAATGTACAAACATAGCAGAGACCCGTTCAGGGAGAAAAGAGGTTGCCAGTGAAAAATATCCACAGGCAGGAACCCATCAGGTGTTTGTATCACACGCTTATGCGTGGACAGTATTCCCAGCATTCATCCCAACACATACCTTAAAACGAGGTGAAGGAGGGAGGAAGCAGAGGCCTTATCTGAGGCCTCAGAAAGGTCATCACTGTTCTCAGGGTGGGGGTGGCTCGTGGATAGCCTGTGGGGAAAACGCATCTTCTTAGAACACAAGAAAGGACCATTGCACTGAGCCTGCAGGAGGTTTTGAATTTATGGAAACTCGGGCAGGATTTATGTAGAGCAGAGCTGAATTTTGGGCTTGACCCAAGGCTGAGTGCTGGCAGGAGCAGCTACTGCGACTAAGCAGAGCACAGGGCTGAGACCAGGGGACAGTCAGCCATGGGGACAGCACAGAGAGGGTCGGCATAACCCCCTCTGCATAGAGAGAGGCTGCATAGCGAGCAGCCCTGCATAAAGCAGGAGCACAATATTATTATTATTATTATTATTATTATTATTATTATTATTATTATTATTTTTAATTTTCAAACTCTTACCAGAGAGAAACAATTGTGAGAAACGGTTCGGACAGCAATCTCGCCAACAGATGGTGCCATAACTTTACGTTAGGGCTATGTTGTCACATTTGCTGGTGTTAGGCCTGTCCTGTTGCCCTCTCAGGGTGATGCGTGTGTGTGTGCGTGTACACTGGACTTGCTGCTTTCAGGGCATCTATAATCACTTTGATTCAAACCATGGTCTCTGCTTTAACTAAATAGTTGAGAACTTGAGACTCTCACTAAAAATATTAGTGGTGCCAAAGCTCACTGCTCAAACTCACTGAAGCTAAATTAGGTTGCAAATCCTTCCAACTCTGTAAATTAGGCCACTTCTGTTTTGACACCTCATACTTGAATATTCAAATTTAGAAATGTGTCCCACATGCCAGTATCTGCTAAGAAAGGCACAATGCAAAGAAGAGATCATTTGATGAGTAAAACCAACCCCTATCAACTACTCTCTGATGCTGCCTTTTGGATTACAAAACTGAAAACAATAAGCTTATGAAAGAGTCCATATGAAGCCTTTCCTAAACCAAAGAGACCAGAAGCAAAGCCATAGCTATATTAGGGTAAGCTGCTATATATAAAAATAGCTGAAAGCTCTGGTAGCTCCCCAAGGACAATACAGTCCATTTAAATTTACAAATGACTGTGTTTTGTTTAACAGAAGGGAAATGGAAGAGGGACCTCGGGTATTTCATTATTTATGGTAAGGAAATGATAAGTCAGTAAATATTTCAAGCGCTGTTGCTATGAAATGTCACACAGCACAGCAGTATACCTGGATGACTTGCTAAAAATTAACTAATATTTATAGCATATTAATGAATAATGATTCAAATGCCCTTGTTTGCAGGATAATGAAATAAAAACATTTTCACTTTCCTAGAGAGTGTTTGTCAACTGACCTTCTGGACTCTGAACTCACCCTTTCTCCTTTTTTCCTTGACAAGGCCTTACATTTTCTCAGACTTCCAGTAAATGTTACAGAAAGTGCATGTTTGTGATTGTCACCATCAGCCAGTGAAGGATAAAATGATTCTTCCCTGTTCAGAGGACATTCAGAATGACAGGCAAAAAAAAAAAAAAAAAAAAAGCTAGAAAGGCTGGAATAAAAAAAAGTGAGGCTCAAAACCCACCCAAGGAAATTACTTTTGAAACTAAGGTTTCACATAATTCAAAAAGGCCTACTATGCTGGGGCAGGGAGGAGGGGAAGGAAGAGATAAGGGCTACCAAAATCAAATGAGCTATATCAGAGATAAATCATCCATAAAGCAAGCCAGAAAAACCTGTGTTGTCTTTTCATCAACAGAATAGAACAGAGGCTTTTTTTTTCCCTTATACTACATGGAAGGAGGTGTTTTTTTGCACTTTTATTTCAAAATGGAAAAACTCAAAATAGATATTTTAGCAAAGCCTGTTACTTTTGATAAGCTTTTGATCATGTCTGCGGCAAGTCTTGTATGCTATTTTGAAGAGATGGTGTTAGAAAGTTGAATGGAGAGACCAAAATCAAAAGGCTGCAGATAACTTCACAGAATGAGCACTTTTTTCACTTTTTTCTCCCTTGTGGAAGGGATTTACAAAAGAGAAACTCTCAGAAAAGCTATGTCTTACTTTGCCTGATGTGCTTGCCTTTATAAATATATATACATATTTTTCCAGATGACAAAAGGAGCCCACTGTAATCGCACTGGTCACAGCGTGGCTCACAAACCACGTCCGCAGTGTCCACCTGTCCTGGCCTGACACACTAACCACCACGCCGCAGACCCCTCCTTACAGCGGGGCCTTCGTTCGAAGACGCCAGTCAATGAGAGCAAGGGGAGGCAGGGCCCCTCCGCACCTGCCGCGCTCAGGTTCACCCACCATCCTCCTCCTCTTCCTCAGAGGGGCTTCCTGGCTTTCATTTTATTGCAACATGTTAGTCTGATATTTTGTCTCATGCATTATGGTTTCTTTTATTACCTTATTCACAGATGCAAATACAAAGAATTTAAGATATAAAACATTAAACTCCAACTGGAAGGTGTGACTCTCTGAGAAGGAAATGCTGTTGTTTTGCGTCCTTTTTGCATCAACCCTTTTCTACCACGTGACCACAACCCTTGCTTGGATTACATATTTCAGGGTATTTCTTCACTGTCATAAAAGTGGTGTGGCTTCAGCCACAGCTTCAGCCTTCATTATCCTTCTGCCACACAAAGGCCTGGCTTTCTGAGCGGGTCTGACGGCCTCTCTCTCTCTTTCCTTTAACTGTGATCTTTGCTCTTTGGTGCACAGACAAGTGCTTTTGCACTGAGGCTGAACTATACATAGCTGTGGGAGGAAAAAGTTGCATAAAAAGGTCTAGTCATCTACATTACCAGGCTTGTTTCTACAAACATGCAGTGACGGCAGCCGTGAACTCCATATCTAAATTTGTAATCCTAGACTACAACTTACGTCCCAATGATAATTTGTTATGACATGCCTATGATGATTAAAAATCCAGTCCCTTTCTTTACACTGACTATGCTTCTATTTAGCTATCACCACAGTTACGGTATTTCTGTTAGTTTTTCTTAATGTTTGTGTAATGACTGGATAGTTAATAGTAATATGATATGCCATGGTTCCCTAACTGGATTGAAAATGTTAAGCCATATTACTCTATAAATAACAAGCATGACAGCATGTCTGAGCAGCAAGTATTCAGGTTGGTATTTGATCTGCAGTTTGAAAGTGCAACAGATAATGCTTGAAAAAGTAACAAAAACATGTTACTAGCAAGCACACAATACATTTAAAACAAAGGTCAAATGTGTATATGTAAATTTATGTAAACAAATACAAGCATATGTAAATATATGGACATATTTAGGGGGAAGTATGTAAAGAATTGACTCGCTTCTACATTTGAACTTCTGGGCCTCCTGTGATGAAGTCTGCACAGCTAGACTGCAGGACCAGTGCTGCTGACGTGACTGCAGAATCCTGAATTTGAGAGGAGGTGGTTAGTGAAGGTCACAACTAGCAGATAACGATATGGGCACAAGAATCCTAACAGCAAAGTAATGTGCTTAAGTGGGAAATTTTGTGTCTTGCCCCTGAAACTTCTTGCCCCATTTTAAAAGAATAGTACAGCAACACACGAATGTTATTTCGTATTCTACAAAATCCCTACTGGCATTTTACAGAGGCGTGAAACAGCAGAAGAACCAGCTCGAAGTCTGTCATTCTGGCCCGTGAACCATGCTCCAGTATTGAAATCTCTCTCTAATGAGTTCCCTCTTAAAAGAGCCAAAGAATTAAATTCTGTTTATTTTGCCAAGCTGTGATCTAATCTTGGGAACATTTTAATGGGGAAAATACCTTGTGATCTTAAATTTTCAAATCTTTTAAGGAAAAAGTTTATATGATTTGGAAAGAGGCCTGGGAACGGCTCTATATACACGCTCAAATCAGTGTTTAACAGAGACAAAACTAGGTGGTCCAGATCTTTATTTCATGAAAATAAAAATCATCTAGAGATGGACTAATTTAATAAAAATATTTTTGTGAAGAGTTGTGGATGCATGCATATTTTTATTCTTTAAAAAGCATAGCTTGTTTAACAACTGGCTTGCTTGTCAGAAATCCTGCAAATATATTTCACGCCTTACAGGGAGCAACAGGGCTATAATGAAAAGACCTGGATGCAGCTAACACAGGTACTCTCAGCTAGTGGTTGGTTCACATGTCAGATTGAGAAGATTGAAAAAGTTTTTGGCTTTGTAACATAATGGGTAAAAAGATGGTATTTTAAATAAAGATGTTAATAGGCACATCTTAAGTCTTTATTTTCTTTTTTAATTAAAAGAGATCTAAATTTTTTTCTTAGATTTAGATTGTTCTTATTTAGTCTGTTTCCTCACAGATAGGGAGGTCTGCCTGCTGATGTCCGGTCTATGACCAGATGACTGGTCACTGAATTCAAAGAAAACAAGATTGACCAAAATGGAGTATTATTTAAAACTCTACTTTCTAAATGTTGTGCAATATGCATCTTAAAAATAGATTAAATAAGCACACAAATCAAATATCTCCCCCTTGGTGGGGCCAGAGCAGTCCTTAGTAACACACCCACAGCAAAGGCACAGCGTGTGCCTCCCCAGCGTGCTGTGACCAGTGACACAGCCCTGCAATACCCGTTTCTGTGCGAAACTCCCTGCTTTCCATGGCCCGCCCTGGGATATTTGCAGGGCAGCCTGGGAGCTGGGAAGGTTGCAGCAAAATTGCTGGTCTGCCTGTTAGTTCCTCTGTGGCATCACAGCTGCCTCCAAGCTGCCTCCTGAGTAAGAAATAACAGTTTATTTCAGCAGTTCTTCAACACCTCACGTGGGGCATCTCCCAGGATGGAGTCCTCCAGCGCTTCCCCAGCATGGACATTGGCTTCAGTGTCTCACTTCACTGAAGAAGTAAGCCAGTGAATGTTATTGCTCGTTTTTCATTTCTTTCTTCAGCAAGATGGATTTATAGGCATCACTGAAAATAATCCAACCTGGAAAGCTTGATTTCATAAAAACTCTTGTGAATAGTTCGCGAGAAAAAACATATACTACCACTTCATATTCATAATTATATCTGCTCTTTTAAGTTAAGAGGAATTATATTTTTACCTCTATCAAGAGTTCTGACATCAGTAGAAAAGAGTGGCGGTATCTATTTGCAAGTTTATTAAGTGAGACACTTGTAAAAAACAAAAAGTGAACTAATTCAATTTGACTTCTAAAATCTTCTGCTTGTAATGAATTGAATAATGAACCTGAAGTAGAAAATGAAATAGTTTCTTTTTCTGTCTCATCTACTCACAACAGAGGGTAGATTGTACTACAAATTTAACTGCATCTTTAAAGAAAGAGAGATAAAAATAGACATCATTATCTACGGTCTCCACAGGTGTCTATGACCTCTCCTGCCTCCACAGGGATGAAAAGCTACATTTTATTTGGGCGGGGGGGAAAGGTGATTGAATTACATCCGAGATGAAAGACAGCTAGGACAGAATAGCTCTTTCCCACACTCAGTGATTAGGAATGCTATCTCCTACTTGATTACTTTTTAATTGAACCTTGAAGATAAAAATGCAACTAATTATGCCATTTAGGTAGCATATTAATAAGAACACCACAGGATGGACTACTCATAAAAATAATAGAGAATAGGGAGCCATAAAAAGAGATGCAATGAAATAACCTAATTAGGAAGTTTATCATTTCAGTGCAGATGACTTAATAGGAAATGCTTTGTAATTCCAGATAGACCTTCTCCCCTAAATGTCAATGACTCTGATGCAATGGTGGTAGCTAGTAGACAGCAGTTTGTTTCCTAAAAGAAACTGTCTAAAATCCTTTTAAAAAGTTTTTGGAGATGAAGGGAGGGACCTGTTGTTACTAGAAGAAATAACAGTCAAAAGAGAAATAAAACATAATATGTGAGAAGTGGCCTGCAGTAATTTAGGTAAAAATCACAGCACAACAGTCTTGCCAGTCTGTACATTGCACTATTGAGCTCCCAATGAGGTCGGTGATTGCGAGTGTGCCAACAGCATGTAGCAACAGGCCACAAAGATCCTCTCACCTTTTCCTGTCTATTTATGCCATGAATGTTTGGGTTGGAATCTTTTATTTCATCTCATTCACAAGACCAGCCTAATGAAGGTGAAGATCAAAGTCATCAGGACCAGGAAATACCCAGCAAATAATTGCAGACCCAAAAGTATGCAAGTGCAAGGCCACAGCTTTCTGCCAAGGAAAGGGGCTGTGCCCCATCTGGCCGCCTCAGATGCGGTTGGAGTGAGGGGGCAGGGGAGACGGTTGTCGGGCTCTCAGCACACAACCTATTGCCCATATCGCTTCCATGGATTTTAGCTTACTATGGAAGCTGAATATTTCTGCATGTCAATAATAGTACCTGAACTGGAAGTCTCAGGTGCAGGAGAACAAATAAACACTTAATTGGGAAAAAACAAAAAACAAAAAGCCTGGCTATGAATTTAGTAACTGAAGTACCTTTTCAGAGACACCTGAGAGTGGCTCATGTCTTCTCTAGTGGCTACAGACCCAGTGGAAAGGATTAATCTTCACACCATAAAATCAGATGACTATGTGCTGTGTGAGCAGCAGAAGCCCTTGAAAGGCTGAGTGATAAGGCAATAAAATGGCAAGTGAAATTCAGTGAGGAGAAACACAGTATTGATTTACATGGGAAAAAAAAGAATACCAAGTTCATATATGCATATACACTCTGTATGCAAATTAGCAGAAAAGGACTAAAGAACAAAGCAGAAACCATCATTACTCTACTGTAATTCCTTGCATCCATATTTTGAATGCTGTAGTTTTGGTCAGTCTTTTTGTCCTCCCTCCTTCCTCCCCACTAAGATACAACAACAGACTTGGAAAAGGTTCAGAGAAAGAAGATCAAAGATATGGACTGTTTTCCATATGTGGAGCAGTTAAATAGACTGAACTGCTTGGATTGGAAGAAAGATAAATGAAGGGAGATAAAACAGCCTGTAAAGTCATGAATGCCATGATGGATGTTCACCATTTCTTCCAACATATGAACTAGGGGGCCTCAGATGGAACTAGTGGGAAGCAGGTTCAAACCAAAGATCTGTTCTCAGACACATGAACAAGTAGCTACGACCTGGAACTCGGCCACCAGATTCTGAGAAGGCTGAAACTGAACAAGTTCCTGGAAAAAAAAAAAAAAAACCTCAGTAGAGACTATTAACTACAAATTACACCTCTGCTGGATCTAGAAGTGCCTAAGCAGCAACCACAGAGGTGGTAATGGTATTTTGGAGATTCATCCCATCATGCATCCTTCACACCTATGTTCTTCCT